TTTTGAAAAAAAAAAAAATACATATATATATATATATATGTATATATATATATATATAAAGATTTTCTTTGTTTTTTCCACAGTATGCTTCTAATTATCAGCATTGACTTATAGCAATTCTCATCACTCTGCATTTCTATATTTTCAAAAGAGTCTTCTTTTTTAAAAAAAAATTTGATTTGAGAGAGAGGGAGAGAGAAACATTGATGTGAGAGAGAAACATCGATCGGTTGCCTTTTGTACGCACTCGGACGGGGATCAAACCCGCAACCTAGGTATGTGCCCTGACCAGGAATTGAACCCCCCACCTTTTTGGTGCATGGGAGAATGCTCCAACCAACTGAGCCACACTGGCCAGGGCAAAAGAGTCTCTCTTTTAAGGAGTATTGCAAATTTGCAAGCAGTTTTTGCGTAGGAATAGCATGTAAAACATTGTTTAATTTTATAGTCTCAACATTGTAATTTTTATGTTTAAAAAACAAGGGAGAACAGATAAATTCCTATAATTAGACCATATTGTAAAATATTTAAAAAGTAGAGCAAAGGAGTAAAATTCAGTTATAATTATGCATGATCACCATGGGCATTTTAATGTATTTTTTTCTAGTCTTTTTTTCTAGGCATCTAAATGTGTAGCTGAGAGAGGTAGTTTTAATCCATGTACAGCAGGATAGATTTTCATAAACCATTCACAATGATGTCCTGTTCTGACAAAGTGTTACGTAAACAGTGATTTCTCACTAGGCTTTATATTTATTTAGTTAATTTTCATACAATTGTAATAACACCTAAATTCTAATAAAATTAGAATGCAAGTCTAATAAAACCTAATTTAAGAAGCTATATCTAGTTTAATATCTTTAAACAAGTATATGATTTATCTTTTTTTTTTCAGAGGTTAGAGTTCATTCTTTCTGTTTTTAAAAAGGAGTACCTGGCACTGTGGTGTTCAACACTTTCTCTTCATTTCTGGAGATGTGAACAAATTCTGAAAGCTGCTGCTTTGCTGCATTTGTGGTTGTTTTCCCCATTTAGGCTCTTCTTTCTGCTTTAAAATGAATGGAATAAAAGGATCCTCTTGGGGGATCAAAAAGTCGCTCTCTTTTTCTTTACTTTCTATGTTTTTTCCAGGCACACAGTAGTGATGAAAACTGAGTTGTTTAAATGGTGACTCTTGCTGTTCAGAATCACTTGTTGTACCGCTGGTATTGCTCAGATTGGTTATTTCTGAACTGAAATTTGTATAAAGCCCCAAATTTTGGAACAAAATTACAGGAGAGTTGTTGAACTGAATTAACTTTTAATTTCAATCTTGTGAGTCTGTGATTGCCCCTGTTAACACCACTATCAGTTCATACCTCTATTAACACCACTGCTAGATACTCACGTGGCCCAAAGCCCCTGGGCCTCAGGTGCTCCCAGGTGAAGCTGTTGTTTCCTAGGTCCCATGTTGTTCTTTTTCAAGTGATGCCAGAAGTTGACTCTGATATTTTTGAGGATCAGAAAATATTTTACATTTAATATATTTGGGATTCTTCTTCCAAAAGTGAAATATAAATGGAAATCTGCTGTTGTCCTCTTTTTTCTTTGTTTCTAGGCCAAGAGGGCGACTATGACGATCTGTTCACTTCCAGTTCTGTCTCCACTTTGCTGGAAGCACAGGGTTTTGGTGAACTGGAGAAAAGTCTATCATCTACGCCAGTGATGGGGTCCCCCAGTCGTGACCCGTTGAACACAAGTGTCCCGGAAGAGGTACGTAGAGATTCTTAGTATTTTCTTCCTGTTGAAGGAACCACGTCATTGAAAGTTAAAGTGCTGTGGATAACCCGAAGGACATGGTTTTTTTTCTCAGTTCAATTACTGACTTAGTTTGTCCTGGCAGTTTTTTGTGTCCTGCAGGTTTTTATTTGAAATGTGTGTGGTTGTTGTTTTCCTTCTCTTTAATAAATAAATGCCCTGGGTGATGTCAAGATTGCTTGTGTAATTTAGGAAAAACATAAGAACCCCTTGGAGATAGATGTCATCTTAAATGTGGGATTATAATCTACACATTAATTATTAAGTAAAGAATAAATAAAATGGGGATAAAGTGAGGTTATATAAAGAAATTGATTTGGATCACCTGCAATGGTGTCTTTAAAAGATGATGGAATAAAATTTCCCTCTGCCTCCTTAGATTTGGAAGAAGCCACTGGAAGGGAATAAAGTTTTAAACTCATTTACTTTACTTTCACCTCAAATTGCCACCGATACCTTCTTCTGCTATCTATTGCACACCAGCCCGAAACTTTGTGTCTTGAATGACAACATTTTTTTTTGCTGACGAATCCGCCCTTTGGACAGGGCTCAACAGGAACATCTGGTCCCTGCTCCGCTTGGCAGCAGCTGGAGTGGCGCTAAGGCAGGGGGCTTGAGTCACCTGAAGGCCACTCATTCGCTGTTGGATGGGACCTCAGTTGAGACCCTGGCGGGAACCACTGCATGTGACTGCTTGGCGTCCTCCCAGTATGATGGCTGGGTCCTGAGGATGAGCATCCCAAGAGGACTAGGCAAATTTGTGTCATCTTTTATGACATGTCCCAGAAGTCATGTAGCATCTCTTCTCCTGCAGTCACAGGCCCACCCAGGTTCACGGAGAGGGAATATCAACTACCTCTTGATGGGCAAGTGGCAATATCACATTGTAAGAACATGAACATATCGGTGCAACCATACTTGGAAAATAAATCTGCCCCTCCACTCTCTGGCTACAACAGTTTACATCCCTCCTCACATGCACAATAGACCCACCCCCTCTCCCAAGACCCCTTAGTTTCATTCCAATTAGGCATCAGCATCCCTGGAACTTGTCAGCCAGATCAGGTCAAGACGTAGGTGAAACTCCTCAGGTGCATCTTCTTGGACACAGCTTGTTGGGTACCATTCCATTCAGTTTTAAGAACTGGAACTGCCCGGCCAGGCGTGGCTCAGCAGTTGAGCATCGACCTAGGATCCAGGAGATCGCAGTTCGATTCCTGGTCAGGGCATATGCCCGGGTTGCGGGCTCGATCCCCAGCTGGAGGGGGTGAGGGGGTGCAGGAGGCAGCCGATCAATGACGACTCTCCCATCATTGATGTTTCTCTCTCTCTCCTTCTCCCTTCCTCTCTTTGAAATCAATAAAGATATATTTAAAAACACACACAACTGGAACTTAAGGGACATGCTATATGTCCCCCACATACCTGACATACAGTAGTGGGATAGGTATAGCATAACTGCTATCGCCACTCTTACTTAAAAAGGGAAAACGGAAGGCACACACGTGTCACTAATTCATAGCAATTCCAAAATCCAGCCAGGTACATGGTGCCAGTGCCTTTATTAGGACTCAGTCCTCTGGGCTCTTGGTTCTTCCTTCTGAGTCATCCTTCCTTTTCCACAGGAAGGAGGCTGTACTTGCAGATAGTAGTTTTCTGTAGAAGTGTCCATATAGGTCCAAAGCCCTCTTTAATTTTCTCCTCTCTCTGTCCCTTTTAATCTAACTTGGTATAATATTTTAAACATTTAGAATTTCTTATGAATCGATTTGTTTTCTACTCCATTAGATAAAAGCATATCCACAAATACCTTCACGATAAGCCCTTTACTTTAACAGACTTCACATTTTATAATCTTTTATAGTGTCAGAGGATGAGACCACCACTCGGTAACTGAAACAAAAATCACAAAACTGAATTTATTGCCTTTTAAAAAAAAAAAAATCTTTATTGATTTCTGAGAGAGGAAGGGAGAGGAGAGGGAGAGATAGAAACATCAATGATGAGAGGGTCATTGATCAGCTGCTTCCCACCCGCACGCCTGCAACCCGGGCATGTGCCCTGACTGGGAATCGAACCTCGATCGCCTGGATCATAGGGCGGTGCTCAACCACTGAGCCACACTAGCTGGGTTATTGCTTATTTAAGTAATTAACTTTGTTGGTCAAGGACATTCTCTCCAAGCTGATCATAAAGAGGGTTTTTAGGATGCTTCGAGGTCAGGGGTTGGTGGACTTTCAGAGGCAGGAGTGAGTTGACAGCAGCTGTATGTGGTTATGAAGGTGAGACTCCTGTTGACTGGGTGGCATTTAGAGGTGTGTTTGCTGGTGTGAGTCCCCACCTTGCTGGCTGACCCCCAGAGGTGAATCATGGATTGGTTGACTTGCAGAAGTGAGTCACCTCAGGCGAGTTTTGTTCATTTATTTTTACTGGAATATTTGTTAAAGTGTTTCATTTACTTGTTCATGATGTGTCCTACAATCTAACTGCTCTGTGGTCAGAAACTATTGAAAACCAGAGTATACAAATTCTTTCACAAAGTCCATCCTTAGGACACACAAGGCATTTGTTTGGGAAAATGTATTACGCATTTTCGTTGTTGCTGCGATAATGTTGTTACTAGTATGCAAAGTGTTTTAGGTGATGTAGCCACAAAGTACATTACAAGTTCCTTTAATTACACTTTTCATTGATTCTGTCAATTGAAGTTAGTCCGCCTGTTCACACACAGAATAATAATAAATGGTGTGACCAACGTTCTATGTTAGACGAGTGGTAGAAACTAAAGTGGAAATGGTCCTTTGTTCACAAAGCAATTTTACCCATATCGCGTACCATCATCATTCTCATTTTACAGAGAAAACTGATACCCAGTTCCATGACTTGCCTTAGGCAAGCGTGTCGGAGCCAAGATCTCAGCTGGAGCTTAAAGTTGTTAGGGTCTCCTATTAACTTACTTTGTGGTATTTATTATGTCTTACAATATTCAGTGTCTTATTCAGAACCAAGTTCAAAAATTGCCTTCCTCTAGAATGTTTTCTCTGATCAGCACTTCTGGATGTTTACACCCTGAATTGCTGTTACTCTGTGGCTTGCGTTTTGTTGGCTGGATTGATTCTGACTCTTCTTATTATATTACAGTTCCACACCAGCATCCTGCAGGTCTCCACCCCTTCATTGTTACCAGCGTCCAAAGGCTTGGAAACTTCTGAAAAAGCACAATTGCCTCCTAAGCCTGAGACTTCATTTGAGGAGAAGTATGTCATTTATGTCCTAACATTGCAAATACAAATGTTTGGGAAAGTGGATCAGCCAAAAGTAATGGTGCTTTGCATTTATTGACAGACACAATTTTTTACCCAGGGACGCAAGAAACAGCAAGATGTGTGCCAGGGAACCATAATCAGTTCTGTGTTATTAAAATAAATGGTGTGAAGCCAGAAGTAATTGGAGATGAGGCTGAGGACATGTGGTGTCAGGTTAGAGAGGGAGTCTAGGGAACCTGGACTTTATATGCTAGGTCATGGGTGGCCATCAGAGGGTCGCAAGCAGGATAGCGGCGGCCCTGTGCCTGAGGCTGTTTGGACAGCAGCTGTGAAGGAGACAGGACAGGGATACAATGGCTTTTGCACAGGCAAAGAGGATTTGGGGGAACATAATCCCAAATTAATTGCTCAATCATACAATTAGACAAAATAGAATATCAAAAAAAGAGAAAGATAGAGCTTTCCTCCACAATTGTTTTGTTTTTGACCATTCTGTTCACTTAGAATATATGGTCTTTTCTTCATGAAGTTCATAAAGACTTTTAAAATTTTTTTTATTTTAGTGATGGAAAAAGAATCCTTGGTGCTGCTGTTGAAACCCAAATGTGTGATGGTCTTTCGTAAGTTATAATAAGTTATTGAATGTGAAAAATTTGATTGGTACTTACTTGGGACAGAGAAAGCTTCTGTTACACTAACAATAACCAGTATTGAAAATGAGTGACTGTGAGGCCTGAATTAATGAATGAAGCTATAATGATTAAGTGGGGGCACTGAGGCTGGGGAGGTTGTAAATTAACAAATACTTGCTCATTTATCATTGTCTCATGCCAAGCTTCTGTAGATCTTCCTCACCAGTTTCCATCTGAAGTTCAGTGCTTGCAATTTTGTTTTTATACTGACATTTTAAACCTTGCAGAAAAGAATCACAGAGAGTGATGTGATGCTGGAAAGGCTGCAATGTTTTTTGCATTTTCAAGTTGATAAACTGACCTAATATCTATGTTTTTCCATGTTAAAGTCTGGATTAAGTTAGGCAAATCTATTTTTCAAGCAGGACTCAAAGATGAGATCTTTTTTCACCATTATCTTTTACTTTATTTGATAATAGACACTTCTAGCAACTTATTTACACATGAATACATGGCAAATGCCTTTTAAAAGTTTGCTTTATATTTATATTATTCTGTTTCTTTAAGCAAAAGTGTTACTTTGCTCTCTCTTTAAACTGGTCACATATTCCTGCCTTCAATTTTTTGTAAGAGCAGCTCTATAAACCTGAATGCTAACTATGCGAAAGAGAAAGGTCTCTGGATGTTTACAATGTCACTTTGCCGACACTAGTATCACAAATGAATTATATGGACAGCAATAGGGATTCCTCTATTATGCTTTGATGAGAATTATAAAATGAAGTGCTCTGTCAGACTCAGAAAATCAATTCCTTTGTGCATTGAAAAGTAAAATTTTCATCCTTGATTTACTTTTTAAAAATATTTTTTATTGATTTTTAGAGAGAGAGGAAGGGAGAGGAGGAGAGAGAGAGAGAAACATGGATTGGCTGCCTCCTGCATGGGCCTACCGGGGATCGAGCCTGCAACCCGGGCATGTGCCCTGACCAGGAGTCGAACCAGCCACCTTTTGGTGCACAGGATGACACCCAGCCAACTGATCCACACCGGCCAGGGCTTCCTCCTTTATTTTAATTAGAACGACTATATATAAATAGTACATGAGTACTTAAAGAGTTCCCGACGTGAATGTATACATGCAAAGGATCTAGCACTAGGCCATGGAAAACACTGGTTTAAATTTTTGAACATTGACATCACAGGGATAGTTCTAAGTGTTTTTCCAGCTATTCAAACATGTGCGGGACATTTACAGTTATTGGCAGGACAGTTAACCACCCCTGCTCTTGAAGGAACTAAATGTTATAATTTACTTAAGCACATAAGTGACTGCCGGAATCCAGATGTTCTTTTATTACCAGGATTCAACCCGCACACAAGTTTAGTTTCTTTCCAAGATAGCCTGCTTAAAAACAGTGGCACCAGAGCCACTTATTATTAATTCTAATTATTATTATTGTTATTTTTAGAACTTCAAGTCTGCAAAAGTCTAGCAGCCTGGGCAATCTGAAGAAAGAGCCATCAGACGGGGTTAGTTCTGTGTTTTTTCCTGTCTGTTACCCTGAGAAGAAAATATTTAGGGATCTTCATCTTTTCCCATTTTGCAAGTAAAACCCTTAAGAAGAGCTTGTGGTTTCTCTGACGGAAAATTATTAGATACCATGGGGAAGGATAAATATCAAGACGTATGATAGGAAGGATCGAAAGTAGTACATAAAACCAAAAATGGAGACTTTAATAATAAAGCACTGTCAGAAATCAATGAACCTGAGATTTTTGTAGCTGGGATCTATATGTATATTAATTTATGGAATTGTGTGTGACAAATTGTGAATATATAAGGGCTGCCTATAACAACCTTAACTATTGTTGTTTTGAACAGGAAAAGGAGTCTGTTCAGAAGCCTTCAGAGGTAATTTTTTATTACAGTGTAAAGATGTTTTTAGACTTCTAATGCGTAAGATTGTTTAAATGCCTCCAATAAACCAAAACTCTTAGAAACAGGCTAAAAGAATTAAGCCAGACACAAAAGATCACATATGCTATGATTCCGTTTATGTGAAATATCCAGACTAGATAAATTCATAGAGACAGCACGTAAATTGGTGGTGGCCAGGGTGGAGAAGAGTGGAATGGGGAGAAGCCGTTTAATGGTAAGGGGCTTTCTTTTTGAACAAGGGAGGTGTTCTGGAACTAGATAAAAGTGGTTGTTTGCACCACATTATAAATGTACTAAATGCCACTGAATTGTTTACTTTAGAATAGGTACTTTTATGTTACATGAATTTTACCTCCTTAAGTTCCTGGGAGAACAAAAAGAAAATGCCAAACTCTTGGTCACGCAGTTTAACCTTCTTAGCGATTGTCACTGGGCTTCCTTAGACCTCACAGAAGCCCTCCTTTGGTCCCCAGAGGTTTTTATACAACCACTGTCCATCTACAGCAAACATTCTGCTATTTTAAAGGCATCATTGAGATGGGCTCTGGTTCTTCTTTCCTCTGGTTTTCGGTCATTAGCCTTGTAAAGGTTATCATCTGGTAGACAGGCTGCTCCCAGATGCAGTCTCTTGACTGTTGGCTCCCAGCACCTTGAGTCATCCCGGGGGTATAACTGGCGGAGGGCAGACAGTGGACACAGTGCTAATGAAAGCCATCCTCTGCTCCTCTCGCCTTGCCAGTTCACTAATGAGGTGATCTTGACATCAGTGTTAAGACACGGATGTTAGTGCCACTAAATTGTGGCATCTGTAAACTTTCATTACTATGAGTAGTAGGTATGTAGAGTAAAAGAACCAACCACCTTAAAGGCCTATATCCAGCTCCTTGCCCTTCTCTCCACCTCTGCAAAAAAGAAGGAAGGAAGGAAGGAAGGAAGGAAGGAAGGAAGGAAGGAAGGAAGGAAGGAAGGCAGGA